CAATTATACTAGGTAGTTAATCCAATGCCGTCGACCATCGTCGCACCCATTTTAATTTTAATTACTTGAATCAAATAACGGATATTACTACCTAGATTGTTACGGGCTCACTAGAAAAATAATTTAAAACACTATTTACATAAATAGTGTCAAAACTGAGTAATATTTTTTTTTGTCGGTATAATAATGTTTATTAGTGATTTTGTGTGCCAAATAAAATAAATTTTTATTATAAAATTTATAAATTCTTTTCTTTAGACGTTAGCTAACGTTATAGTCCATTTATAGTGGGACTATTAAACATTTATTTAATAAGTGTTAAATATATTTATATTGTAAATTAATTTTTGTGTTGTCTATCGTGAGTTTAACTTTTTGTGGTAAAACCGTTATAAGATTGTAAAAAGAGTTCAGTACATTATTTTGTAATAAAGTAAGAATATGACATCTAAATTTCATTTTAAAAGATGTAACTATGAATTATCATACGTCAGTGAAAGAGATAGAAAACTTAATAAAACGTTATACCAAGCATACCGCATTACTTGTTTGCTATTACATAACAGCCTAATATCCTTCTTTTTGTGGAATGTTGGTAGGAATGAGAGTAAAGATGACAGTCTACCTACTCGTAATATTGATATTGGATATACTGTGTCGCCTATATCACTATTTATGTATTGTTAGGGTTAATCCTCTAAATAAGAGGAGGAAAAATTTCTAATATTGTGGCATATGCTTTTTGCCTAGGTATGAATTTTCTTTTTGATTTTTATAAAGATCTAATATCTTAAAAAATACATAAAAAATAATATAATGTTGTATATACTCGTACATATATAATATAATGTTAGTAGTTACTCGAATTTTTATGCAGATTTTATAATTTTGAGAGTAATTCAGTATAATGCTATGAAAAAAAAATGGATATGTTTTACAAAATTCCTAATATTTCTTACACAAAGTATTATCATAAATAGTAATACTGTTGCAGTATTATGCTCTTAGAAGTTAAAATTATTAAGAGTGCCTCTTGCTAAGGTCATAGAGTTGAGACATTTCATTATTATTTTGCTTATGACAATATTTCAAAATTTATATGTTTAATTGAAGATAGTTCAAAATTAAACCGGTGATTCCATATCATACACATAACTAGTGTATAATACATACTGCTTATAATTCTAGCATAACCATATCTTGAAATAATGCCTCACTTCAAATCCTAATAATGAGCATGTAATCAATATCAATATTCACAATAGCTCTTAGCAAGACGGACCTCTTAATACATTTAGGAAAGCAGAATGTATTTAGTGCTTTAAGCCAATTGTGCCTTATTATTTCTAGGTAATCGGCATGGCGTGTGAGAACTTTGTATCGTACAATAATACCGAGATATAGTTCCTGCTTGCAACCCTTTGAGAGCTTATAATGCCAAGGTATATATAACTGCATGTGCATGTATGTAGTTATGAGGCTATTACTTTTTTTGTGTTTGTATGCTATTGATAATTTAATTATGAAATTCCATTACAAATATACATTTCAGTGCAAATCATTATAAATATATTATATTGACACTATGTAATTAACACATTTCGATGTCTTTGATGTATTTTTATGTGTTGGGATTTAAAAAAAAATCATTGAAACTTAATCTAAGATTAAGAAAAAATTATCTAAAATAAACCTTCATTACCGTAATATGTTTATATATAATAGTACTAATATAATAGTGCGCCACCTACCCTTTATTTTTCTTTGTTTTCTCAATGTTCTCTACCCAAAGGTTGTCTGGAAGAGATTGCTTAGCGATAAGGCCGCTTTTTGTATCATTTCTTATTACAGTTAAATGTGTTTACTATTTTATAAATGGTGCAATAAAGTGTACATAAATAAATATGAAAATTAATTACCTTATCAGCTTATTAAGAAATTATTAATTTATGGAATTGATTATTAAACTATTAATTGTTGAAAAATTAAAGGTAAACAATATTTAATTTGTTTGATCATTATTACGTTATTATATTATACAAGTATTTTATATTTTTTTACTAGCTTTCTGCTTACTACTACTATATATATGCTTAGATTTCAGAAGTAGGAAAACCAGTTAAATGGGTCAATTTGAGATTGCGTATCAAAATAAAACAATATCAGATTTTACATTTTCAGAAATACAGTTGCGAACATTGCATTCAATTTGTTGCAGTATTTATTCATACGACAGACAGAATTTTATATAATTTATTTTTTCGGCTTCTATTACTCTTATTAAGCTCATATAATTTTTTCTTAAATATCTCTCATGTACAGACATCGTTTAGTTAAAATTTTATTATATTAGTAAGATTGTTTGTTTAGTACAACAAATAACATCAAGTTGAAATCTTATTGCTTGGACGATTGGTTATCTGTATTAATTTAAGGATTTCACCTGTGGTGTTTCTATACTTTTTTTCCATATTTTCTACTGTGCGTAATGTTAAAGTCATAGGTATTTATTGCTTGGATTATTCGTTGTTTGTATTATGTATATTCATTTACAAGTCATGTGTGATCCTTCTTTATTTACTTCATAGCATAATTAATAAAATAGTTACTATGTAACAGACGAATCACTCATAGAATTTCCAGAATAGGTCCAGCCTGTAAAGGAATAACGTTAAGAAAAAACAATTTGTATAAGAGCAGCAAAAAACTATATTTTTTGATACAATTTCTTTTGAACTAACAAGGCGTTACTTAAAAAATATAATAAAACGACCAGATACAATTTATTACAAGAAGAGCTAACAAGTTTAAGATTATTCATACAAACTTATAACTTGTCAATTTTTATGTACTGTTTAATTTGAAAAGCAGTCTTAGCTAACTACAATGTGCAAATAGAGTGGCAGATTCGTGTTAAATATATTATGTACGTAGGTAACAATGCGCTATTCTGCTATAATATTTATTTAGAAGTATTTTTTACTATCAATGATTTCATCATTTATACATTAAAAAGTTGCATGATCTATTGCATACTAAGATAACGCAACAGATTTTTTAAAATCTGCCAGAATGACATTATTTGATTTGACAACATAGTATTTAACTTGTTTGGAAAAGATATTTTGAATGAATGAATATGTTGCTGTGAAAAATTGTTGTTTTCCATTACTTATATGGGTACATATAGGTATATTATAATATAAGTAAACATTTTTATTACATTTTATGAATTCATCAATCAAATAGATTGATGGATTAATGTTAATATTTGTTATAGGGCCCCGTTATGTCGTAAGGATATACCTTACTAATATTATAATTATAAAATGAGTCTGTTTGATTGCTACCTTACAGTGCCTCAATAGGTGCTGTATGGGATGGAAAAGGATATAGGCTATTTTATATCCCTGTAAGTAAACATATCCTAGACACGCAAACGAAATCGCGGGTAAAAGCTAGTTAGAAATATTTTGATATTTCATTAATGTTATCGTATGTAAATACCTAGATGTATATTCTATAGTGAATATTTACCTGTATCGAAATTGCTAGATATGTATATAAATTATAAAATTTGCCACTTCAATTTCAAATATCTAATGAATAGACAATGGATGACAATATATAGGTATTTACATAGAAGTTAAATTTATGATAATTAGGCATTCTTATAAACTAATGGAAAAACATTATTTTACAGGCTATATTTTACATACGACTAGTAATAAATATTCGAAAATTAAGACTTCATTTAACATAATAATTGCTTGTTTGCCATTCTAAGTTGCATAAAAAACACTAAAGTAATGACTAATTAATATATGTATATGTGACTATTCTATTCATATATATATATATATATATATATATGTACTTATTTAACAAGTTATGTCGTCGGCGTAGACGGAAAACTCAATAAATGAATTTTGGTAATTTCGAGATTAACTTAATTTTCCATATACGTCAACGATATACGTATAAGAAAAAAAAATCCTTTTGTACCCTTTTGTTGTACATATAATTATTTATTATTAAACAGAATAATGGCCAATGTCTATACATTCTTCTGTCCGCCATCTTGTTTACATATAAATAATATATTCTTTGGACTGCTTTTTCCACCTACGCTTTTTCGATGGCGTCACTGAATATTCTACTAAGAGAACAAAATAATAAAATTTTCTCCATAATTACATAAAAATCAATTTGTTGAAATTCACCATTATGATTATGGTTTAAAGGGCAGTCAAATTACCGGGTACTATAACTGTAATCCAAGATCATTGTAAGGGTTGGCTTAGCAACAGTATTGGATTTATATTATTATAAATTATACTCCACTTTACGTTCTAACACCCACTAGGAAGGAAGGGCACTCACTTGTAGCTTAAATAGCTAGTGGGTATTTTTGTAGGTATGGGTAGGTAAGAGGGGTATTTTAAATTGATTAAATGAATTAGCGATGGAATGATAAAAATGCATAATGAAACAAGAATTACAATTTATTCCCTTGTATTTTCTGCCCTCAGTCCGCGGTACGGCCTATTGACAAATCTAGCATTGGTTGTTTTTTTAAAGGATGAAAATGGAATATTGATCCTGTCTGCGCTATCGGTTTACACTGGTGAGCACCAATGAAAGATGATAGGTGATGATGAAGCCAGTCATAAATTTAACAATAATTAATTACACTTTCCCCCATCCAGCACTGGTTGGTATCGCATGTTATTAGCGTCATTCGTTGCAGTAGCCACTAGGTACACCGTATGCTAGACCGCTGTTGTCTACAGTTTCGCTAGTTCTAATTGATATGGCACCTGTTCCCCTTAAGACTTTAAGGACATTTATTCTTAGTGTTTGCTCACATTTAATTAGGAGAATGTTTGGTTTAGGCGTTGGTTAAGCAGTTACTTTTTCCTTCTAGTAAATAATTGGTGACAATATGATAATTCCAATCTCATCATCATGACTTGAGTATTAACGAGATCCATTGTCAGGTCGGCGGGAGGGTCGGGCAGCGCAGTAGGCCTCGAGGAGGCGAGCGACGGGAGTGACGCCGAGCGCCCGCGGAGGGGGCATCACCTGCGAGTGCCTACACCTGCTTTTGTTGGACAGTGAGTATAATGTATTTTTTTATTAAATTAGGAAGGGCTACACGTGTTTTAGAGGCGGGGTAGGGGGCACGAGCCCCCGTGCTCATGCAAGAATTTTAGAATTTTTCTGGTGAATCAGATTAAAAGTAGGTATCTTATGTGTTAACCCAGGGTATGATTATTCTGTATAGGTACAAAATTTTATTCAAATAATTTCAACCATAATATAATAATATTAGTTTTCGAGTTCGATTAACAAACATGTAAAGACATAAATCTCTTTACCAGCTTAAATATTTATAACATACTTGCGACCCGCTCCGGCTTCACACGGGTGTAAATTGTACCTAAAATCTTTCTTTAACTAATATCTAAATATAAATGACAGTGAAACCTATATCAAAATCCGTTGCATATTTTAGAAAAAATAAATGTAAAAACAGATAGACGTAGATAGCAAAGTATTACCGTATGTAGATAGTATGTAGTTAGAATATAATACATTTTAAATGTATCTATTATTATTCATTACAAAGAATTTAATTTTTAATTCGCGTGTTTTAAAATTGGTTTTATTGCTATAAACCTCTTTAATTCTACTCAGTGGGAATAGCTTCCTACGGAGATATCAATTGTTTGTGTATTTTATTGAATTGTACCTACTGAAGCTATAAAGTATAAGAGTAAATTGTTTTCCAGAACGTTTCTTTCAGAAGGAATACATTTTTATTGTAAATATAGAAAATTATGACTAGCATGCACAGGTTGCATGATATCAGAATATTTTCAACATTTTATTGGTCATCATTTACATTTTTGCTTTATTCTGATATTGAAATATCAATCTAGATAGTAATATCATTAGCATGCTGTTAACAGGGTATTCTGGTCGAAAAACGATATAAATTTGGCCTTAAATCTTAGCTTAATTATACATTCTGTGTTAGTATGGTGGTTTAAAAATTTTTTGTTTATTTTTCTCCATTTATTTTTATTTGGGATAGGTGTTCAGTTTTATTTGTAAAATACTTCTTTAAAAGGCTGCAATTGTTTTTCATTATCCTTGCTGTTACAATATATAACAGTAGATTTGTTCCTAAAAATTTTATTACCACATTACTGCGGCGCAAGAATCTTGATTTCAGTTTTGTTGTTCATCTTTATTGTTTCTTTTTTATACATTTTTTTTTATACAACTTAGAATGGCAAACAAGCTGACGGCCCACCTAATGGAAAGTGGTAACCGTCGCCTATAAACATGAGCAGTACCATGGACATAACAGAGTATACTGTTTCGCCCATGATACCCCCTATGCATTGCCACTCCTGAGGACTCAGGTGTTATACCTCTGTACCCAGTAAATTCATGCCATATCCCACCCTTCAAACCGAAACACAGCCATGCAAACACAGCTGCTTTATGGTTGAAACACGAATGGGACAGAGGTACCCAAGCAATCGACTTTTGTACAAAGTCTCCCTCGGGTAAACATACATAAATGTTTATTTACTATTTGTCTTTAAATTTTCGAAGATATTCGTGCTTGTATCTATATCATTTGTCTATCCATTTGTCTTTTTCTTAATTAAAAATAATATTTTGATTGTGACATTGTTTCTGTATTTTATCACCTATCAGATCTTTCGAATTCCTTGAATTATCTCGTGTGTTTATTTATTCATGTTAGGCACTCCGTATCTGAAAGTCAAATATGAAATTACAGATAGTGATACAGTAGTTTTGTACTTTTCAGACGTACTTATCATATTACGTGATGGTTTGTGGTAATGGAAGTGTATTTTCGTTGTTTTTTATATATGTGAATATGAGTTGAATTAGTGAAATAACTATGGATGGAAGTGATCCGGATACTGTAGGGAACCCGCGGACTGTACGGTGGGCCCTCAGGAGGGAAAGTCTTCCGATATCGACGATCAAACGTGCCTGGCACAAGGGTACACATAGTATCAGCGCAGATGGATTCCATTGGAGGAGACGGTAAGACAGAAATTAGCAAAGGATAATAATTTATAGACTAGTAGAAGCCATGTGCCCCGTGAGATATTTTATCGGGAACTTCCAAACAATCTTTCGTTACTTAAGGCATGGATTTTTCAAAAACATTGTAGGTGTTAATCATTCGATAAATAGGGAAAAATTACAACCACAAAACAAAAATATGTATCTTATAATGCTAACCTTAATTTTATAAATTCATATATGGTCTCAGTAGGCGCTTGAAGGTAGTTAGAAATTTATTTTTCCTATGGATATTATCGTTATTTCTAATGAGAACAACTCACACCTGTAACAATTCTTTACTTTTTAATCTGTTTACTGTTTCCTACGTTCAGTATTATTCAACTTCTGACTCAACCGCTGTATTGATTGTCATTTATAAATTGTCTCTGTTAGGAAGCGATTTCAAAATCAATAATAGTCTCGAAATATTAATGAGATATATAATAATATTTATTTATTTAGGTGGATAAACAAGCTGACGGTCCAAATTATGGAAAGTGACTTGTTTTACTCATGAATACGTCAGTGTATTGACAACTTTTTAAAAATTAGTAGATACATTTTTTTAAAAGTATTTACGTCATAATGACATTATAATAATTATGCACTATGTAAAAAGAAATTGCCAAACAGCGATATACTTTTAGTCAAATTCATAAATATTTTTAATGTTATACGAGTATTTATCAATACTACATGCTACCTATCTACCTTTTCAAGCCGAGTCGTTTATGGGATAAGTCAAAGACACATTATAAAAATCTTCTATATCACCCACTTACATAACCGTAACACGATTTCATATAATATATAAAGTCTTTGATAACGTTTGTAGATTTAGACCCAGCGTCTACTTATAATCTAAATGTTATAATCTAATTTTCGTTCGTCTCGTCCACATTCAATTTTTGTTTAGTGTAAATTTATCTGAGAGGTCACTATTAGCATTTTTAGTTATTCAAGGGCGCATTGGCGATCAATTTTAAATATTGTTTTATGAATTCAACATAGAAAAGTTAAAAAATAACAGTTAGTCTTGGTATGAACATGTGATGGTCAGGATTGAAGAACATGTTTTAAGTATGAATATGAATATCTATAAGGGTAGAGGAAGATTAAAAAGACATAAATGGACTGTGTAAAAGACAATATGGCTGCAATTGGAGTGAATACGAAAATAACTGCGAATAGAGATGAATGGAAGAGGAAAACATATTAGGCCGACCCCAAATAAATGGAATAAGGGCAGGAGGATAATAATGACGTTTTTCAAGCCTTAATCCACCTCAAACTATATCTTGCTCTTGTTCTAAGTTGTTTTTCAGTCTCTCAATTTACATGCTTTCCGTTCAACCTTGGCCTTCGAGTTATCTCTTTGCTGAATTTATTTACATGTTAAATAATGCAATATAATCGTATGTTTCACACACAAATATTATGTATATTGTTGGATTATGTCAATAGCTAGAATGTGTTTTGGCAATAAAATAATTTAAGTCTGGGTGCCATAAAAAAAGACTATATATAAGATTGTTTAAAAATTGTCGAAAAAATTTGAGATCCTTTAAAAATTAACAGTAGCCGTTTACTAAAAGAAACTTATAAATTTAATGGTTTTTCAATTAAGTTTTTTTACTTGTACATATATACTATTCTATAGGTTGTTGGATTTTTCGAGCAATAAAAACATTCAATCCCCTCCTATCTTTTTCCTAATGAGTAAATGCATTCCACTAGTTTATTTCTGTACCCTTTGTTTAATCGGGTTCATTTGCCCGTGAATGGTAGTCGTATTATCATTCGATCTATGAGCTCAATTCCAAATGACCGTTTGCATTAAGGTTAAAACAAACCATTGTCGATAAGATAGCCTACTCTATGGAATGGGGTTATGTTTCCTGTAAAGAATGCCATATCTTCAATAGTGTTACGCAATATAGGCAATGAGAATAATGTTCTACAATAACGAGATACGGATATCCAAAGCATTTACTTTAAATTTGGTTTTATAGCTTCTGTGAATATAAATAAATATTGGATGGTATTTATTATACATTAAAATCAAGGAAAATAACTTTGAAAATCTTCGTTTATATACAAACTATCTGTATTCGCGAATGAGGAAATCTCGGGAAGTGAACTATGAAAATAAGAATTTTCAGATTTCTCAGAGTTCCAGATATATTTTGGTAAAAATAATAAAAAACATACCAGAGATATATTGATAGCGCTTCGTTTTATAATATTAATTTAGTTTCTGCTGTTAAGACGGGCTTAAGATATCTGTATACTTTACATTCAAAATCATTATCATAAATATTCATACTGTTTTATTTTTTACTAGTTTTTACCTGTGACTTCGTCCGCGTGACTGGAATATGTTTACTGATCGAGATAAAAAGAAGTCTATGTCCTTCTCAATTTCATATAGTACGTGTATATCAAATTTCATAGGAAAGGCGTTATAAGGTTACAAACAAACAAATAAACTCACTTTCACATTTATAATATTAGTAAGGATTGCACTATAGAATTAGTATAATTAACGTTGCTTATTATCTTATGACATTTTCTATCAGATATGGGGGAAAAACAGAAAGTATTGGTAAGCAGTGATGGGGTCGAGGAAAATTGAATTTTCATTTAAATGACAAACAAGCTGAAAGTGTTCCCAATGGAAAGAGGTAATAGTAGCTTGTGGACAACATCATGGATACCACAGAATATATTGTGAGGTTTATGGTTTTTCACAAGATGGTAATGGAATATATTGCTAAAAATGGCACTGGTAGTCCGCGTTACTAACAATCCCTTCCCGCCCGAGAGGTTTGTGGTAGGTACTACTCATGCCTTACTATTCCACAGGACTAAAAGATTCAGCTGAAGATTCCGGTACATTTCTCTAATTTTTATGACAAATCATTTACGGTGCAAGCTGTACGGCTATGGAATGCTTTACCAGTTTCCTTACGAAATATAAAATGTACGGCTGGTTTTA